TTTTAATTACTAAATTCGGTATAGTAAGGGTTTTTTTATATTTAAAAATCTGTCTGACACTGAAAATCCGTTATATTGTAAAATTCGTTATATCAAAATTCACTGTAGAAAGAGTTGACTGTATATATTTTCTTTCAAACTGTATATTTGTGACATATTATCATGATCCAATCTGAGCTTTCAGGGTTCCTCAATACCCCGCTCTACTTTTTCACCTAAAGGCTGAAAAAGATAAAATGGAAGGCCAACTGATTCACTATTCTAATGAAAAAACTTGTCAGATATCTAAACACTGGATAATATAGTTACAGGAAATGATGAGGAGTTATCTTCAATCCTTAAAAATGCTTATCTAAACAACAAGAAATTCCATTCATAGATATTGAGAATAAAGGATCAACAAAAAGGATAAATAGAATGTTCCGCTATATATTGCGTCTTTATGGTCGCCTTATTAATTATCAAAAGGTATTGGTAACTCTTATAGATATTCAAGTTTTCTTTGACATTCTTGTATCAGACGGAAAGACTCCAGATGAATGTGAAGAAAAGGTGAACAAATTTTTCTCTGGTATTGTGAAATCATTAAAATAGAGCACATTAAAGCTTTCCCTTTTCAGAGTTATCATATCAAAAAAATATCATATTTATGAATTTATACAAATGGTACTGAAGAAAAAAAGAAAGCCATCCAAGCTATCTAAGAAAATAATTTCGAAACTGCTTCAGATGATTTATACTCATTTCACTGAAAAATGACTCGAGAAAATGGAATCCAAATTTCTGGATGGTTTACAATAAACAAATATATATGCAAGAAAGGCAAGCAGACTAGCCCGCTTTGTCCGCATAAATTCTATATGTCTATAAAAGATTTTTGTCCACTAGAAGATCTTACAACAATAAGTGACTGATTTCCCATTTTAGCTCTCTTACAAGATTATATTCTTGTTCTCACTTGGGATATAGAGATTCAATCACGAGAGTTGGGTAAATTTGCCGAAGTCCTTGATCTGAATCATAATGTTTTTATGATTGGCATAACACTGCATTGGAAAGATGATTCAAACTACTAAATCATTTCGACCATTGAAGGCTAAAGTCACGAAATAGTCGAAATGATGTCATATCACATGATTTTTCATATTGAGAAAAAACAATAAACAAAAAATGTACGATCTCGGTCAATATCGCACCGATTCGTATGAAACAACTACCATTCGATTCCTTGCGACTTGACGGATCCAATGAGCTAACATTCATTGATTTTGGATCATCCAATCGCGAGATAATCGCAATTGTATTATCAGCCGAAATTATGAATCAATAAATTCTACTTTAAATAAAGGAGTCTGGATTTCGAAACATGATCGTGAATATCTCAAGATGGGATGATTCAAAATCAATGAATGTTAGCTCATTGGATTTGTCTAGTCACGGGAAATCGAATGGTAGTTGTTTAATATGAATCTGTATGATATTGACCGAAATTGTACATCTTTTATTTTTTTTGTTTTTTCTATATATAAAAAATCATGTGATATGACGTAATTTTAACTATTTCGACTTTTCATTTCGACTTTGACCTCCAAAGTCAAAACATTTCGACTTTTGGGTTTTCATTTTGACTTTATGTATAGTCATATCACATGATTTTTTATATATAGAAAAACAAAAAAAACAAAAGATGTATGATCTCGGTCAATATCGCACTGATTCGTACAAAATAACTACCATTTGATTCCCGTGACTAAGTGAATCTAATGAGCTAACATTTATTGATTTTGGATCAGCTTATTTTGAGATATTCGCAATCGTATTTCAAAATTCAGACTTCTTTATTTAAAGTAGAATTTATTGATTTATAATTTCAGCCGATAATATAATTGTGATTATCTCGAGATTGGATGATCTAAATTAATAAATGTTAGCTTATTGGATTTATCTAGTCATAAGGAATCGAATGGTGGTTGTTTTATACGAATCAATGCGATATTGACTGAGATAATATATCTTTTGTTTTTATTTGTTTTTTTATATATAAAAAATCATGTGATTGATGTCATTTCGACCATTTCAACTTTTCACCTTTAATAATCGAAATGATTTTGATTATTTTGACTATTTTAGATATCTGAAATGACCTATTTCAACTTCATATATAATTACTGCTACTGTTACTAATAATATTGATGATGATGATATTGATATTGCTACTACTGATAATGATAATGATACTACTACTAATATTAGAACTGCTACTGATAATGATAATGACGCTGCTACTAGTATTGATGTTATTACTAATTTTTCTAAAGTATAGCTGAGATTAGACTCTATGTGATGCAAGTTTATATCTGTCTGTTTGTCTGCATATGTGATCAGCTAATAAGATATATTATTATTTTATTATATTTTCCAATCTAAATTTTGCTTACCATAAAAGTAAATTTTACTGATGCATATGATGTATATTTAAATTTTGCTTGTTTTCGAAATCTGTAAAGTAAACTTTACTTAATTAATTTTTTTAGAATGTATATTTAAACTTTACATGTTTTTGAAATCTATAAAAGTAAATTTTACTTAATTGTTACATTTACCTTTACTTTATTTGTATTATATTTTATTAGTATTACATTAAATAAATTTGGTTTTGCAATAACATATATACCTGATTGTATCTATTATAAATTAACATTTCAGACATTCCAACGGTGCTTGTTATTTAGTAATAATAATTATGCTGCTACTTGTATTAGCACTGCTATTGATGATGATGATAATCATGATAATGATGATATTAATATTTATATTAGTATTGCTACCACTATAAATGATGATAATAATAGTATTACTATTAATGAAGATATTATTGCTAATAATACTGTTGCTAATTAAATAATAAAGTAGTAAATTAATTAAATGTTTAAATAAATATCACAAATTAATAACACTAATACTTTTTTGATAATATATCTGAAGGTTTATAATCAAACCCCTTAAATTTTGAAGGAGCACAAATATGATCATTATGGATATAGGTCTAATAAGATTAAACTACATTATTTGCATTGTTAACCAAATACATTTCAAATAATCTAAATAAGTTTTATTATCATTATCGACACAATGATAATTTTCTATATAAAATAAATTTAATATATTAGAATTAAATTTTAATATTGTATTAGTTTTAATCATATCTTTAATTATTTTAAAACTTGATATGTCATAATTGAAAAAAATATAATTGATTTTATTTAAATTTTTATCACGTAATTCTATTCTTTTTATTACAACTAGGGGATATTCTTTAATATCCAAATTATTATTATAATTTGGATTGTTTTGCTTAAATATACTAAACTCCTTATATAACTTATTATATATGTATTAAATTTTTTTTCGATTGCTCACTTTCATTTAAATTTTTTTTCTAAATATCCAAATTTACCAGCTACATTTAACAAAATTTCCTTTAACTTTGTCTTAAAGGAAGGAAATAAATTACTACTTTTTCTTTTAAAAAGAATAAGTTTTTTTATATGTTGACAACTTTTTGTAATATTCTCCATCACCTCGCAAGTTTCATATATATATTGATTGTATTATAAAACTAACTTATGTAGTTTATACAAATCATATTGATCTTTCAGTTGATTAATATTAATCTTTAAAATAAAGACAGTATTATATTTTCAATATAATTAGCAACTTGCATTGTTAATTAACTTAATTCTTCTTGAATTTTTTCTTTCATCTCTTGAAATTCCAAATTTTATCTTTGATTTTGTTTTCCAAATTTATAATACATGAGTTAAAATCCTTCAAATTATTTAATGTTTCCTAAATTAACAACCCATTGATTTATTTCATTTGAGTGGTTAAAAATAAGTATAGTTTCATTTCTCTCACATGATATGATGATTTCTTCTTATAAAATTCATAAGTCTGATTTTGACAATAATCTTATTTGATCTTGTATAAATAAGATTTCTCTTAATACTCAAGAAATTATTGGCTATATAATTATTTTTTTAAAAAAAAGTTTATTAGTTCATTTAATAAAAAATATAATAACAATTAAAATATTTTTAATTCTATTATATTTTTGAATAATAATACTTATCTATAAATAATTTAGACATAGCATTATATTCTTCATACTGGGAAAAAATAGATACAAAACTCCATGTATTTTCCTATAAATAGATTTTTTAAATGAAACAATTATTAAAAAACATACATTAAAGGTTTGATTAAATGTTTTGAAGGTTCTTATCTTATTACCATTCTGGAAGCTTGTTTTATTCTGTTTGTAATAGAAAGTATCACTTATAATGCTCTACTTAAGCAATTTTAATTTATGTTTAAAAAAATTTGTAGGTTGAGAGTAGCAAAAAGAATAATTATAAAAGTATTTAACAAAAAAATAATTCAACAAAAAAATTAACCAAAACTGAATAACAAAAAGAAAAGTTATAAACAAAAAATAATGACAAGAAAACTTATGGCTAGTAGTAAAGCTAAGTAAGTAAAAATAAAACAATTATTAAGTTGTTAATAAAAAAAAACTTATGATAAAAAAATTAACTAAGACTAACTATAGCAACAAGATAAAAATTATAAAAATCATTAGTTAAAAAACAACTTATAATAAAAAATTACGACCAAGTATAGTAAGAAGAAAAAAATCATAAATTTCATTAAAAAAAATAACTACAAAAAATTTCAGAGTAATACAAATAGGAGTAGAATATAGTTGATCAAATGAGTATTGTATTGTCAAGTGATCTGATTTACTTAATTATATTATTTTAAGGTAAAATGAAAAGGAGTAGAATATGGTTAATCAAATGAGTATTATAAGTAAAATAAAAAGGAATAGAGTATGTTGATTAAATAAGTATTGTATGATACTAAAAATAATATTAAGTATAATTAGATTCTTTACTATACTCAACTGCTCATGATACAAAATAGATATTGTATAAATTCAATATGTATACTCAATTGTTGAGTAATACGAATAGGAGTAGAGTATGGTTGATTAAATGAGTATTGTATTGTCAGGTGATCTGATCTATTTAACTGTATTATTTTATTATTATACTATAATACTTTTGAGTATATATTATATAGTTATATAACACATAACACATGCAATCATATAATATAATAAATAATTTAAATATTATCAATCTATCTTTTCACCTACCTATTCTTCAAGTAAAGAAAAAATAGAAAGGTTTTATATATTAAAATACTATTTATTAAAATTATTTTTCTTATCTATCTGTTTTATTGCTATCTACTTTTATCATAAGTGAAATTTGTAATTTGTAAACCTTTTCAAAAAATAACGTTTAAATCTCATGCGTCAAAATATTATTTAACAAAAATTTGGTTAAACAATCATGTCTTTTCAGTCACCTATAAATAACTTTGTTGACAAGTTAGATATTATTTATGAAGAAGTTATTTATGTAGAGGTAACTTTATATTTATATGAATATTTATGTATAAAGTTTTTAAATAAAATTACGAATATTTATGTATAAAGTAAATAAGATAATAATAAATTTTGTAATATATATAATAGCCAAATAATATTTTAATGTAAGCATTGGAAGAAAATGCTGAAATATATCTATGATATATATGTCTATTAAGACAATAATTCATTCACTAGTTCTGATTAAATATCCACCAACATGTGAAGAAGGATCACTATAATTTATTATATTGAGGGTTGAAACAATAAAGTGGCGGCATTTATAAATGTATGTACATTAAATTTAAAACTAATATATTGTCAGTTAAGTAAAATAATTAATCCAGAGTGTAACAAAGGATTATATAATTCTATAAATGATGATACAAGATGTTTCATTGTCCATTCACTCAAAAATTGAGTCAATATATGATTGGTCTTTTTCATTACATATATGAAAGCATTGTAATAGAAATGGAGAAAACTCTAAAAAAATTTTTTTTGAGTTAATGTTAAATCTGAACTTATTTTACAAAAAAAAATCATAATTAGTTTAGAAAGTAAAATTTTAATTTTTTTAGAATTTCTTCTAAGGTTGCTTATTTAAACTCATTTAGGATTTGGTTAAATTTCTAAACCTTTAATTTCGCTATATTTTTACTAAGTATTTGATATAGTTTTGCCATTTTTATAAGCTTTAATATAGTTTTACATTTATCTAAATTTTGCAGATTTTTTAATAAGGATTTAATATAATTTAATCAAGTTTTAACTTTACTATTTAGATGTCTATCTAAACTCTAAATTTCATCTAGCAATCTTAGTTTTCTCCCTTTCTATTGCAAAGCTTCCATATATTCTGGATTTAACAATAGTTTTAAAACCATTCCTTAGTAATAATAATGGTTAATTTTAATTTTTAAAGATTCAATATCCTATAGGTAAATCTGGTGGTCAAAATGATATGACTTGTTCTTATCTTAGTGGTAGTGCTGTGAATAAAGATGATAGAACTTGTCAAGGCATAAAAATATGCGAATTTTGTAAGTTTAAAACTTTAGGAAATGCAGCACAAATTAGTAGATTTTGATTCAGATTTACATAAAGTTCTAAATGAGCTGAGCTAACTTTCGAGTCAAATGAGTTGAGTTGAGTTGAGTTAAATCAAATCATAAAAAATTTGACTCATTTAACTTGAGTTGAGTTTCAAGTTAAGCTTAACTCGAATCGAGATAACTCAAGCTAAACTCAAGTCTAAAGTTAAGCAAAACTCGAGCATAAACTTGAGCCTAAAGTTAAGCAAAACTTAAGCTCAAAGTCAAGCTGAAAAATTTAATAAATTTTCTTTAAAGAAAGTATAAAAAAATCATTCAGATAAAATGATAAATATAGTTCTAAAAGAATAATAAAAGTTTTATTCTGATAGAACAATAAATCATTATTTTATAAAAATGATAAAAAAAATCATTCTAATAGAATTATAGTATATCATTCTTAGAGAATAATAGAAGAATCATTCTGATAGAATGATAATGCATTGTTTTAAAGGAATAATAGAGTGAATTGTTCTGATAGAACAATAATACATTATTCTAAAGAAACAATAGAAAGAATCATTCTAATAGAACAATTTATTATTGTTCTTAAGAAATGATTCGATTATCATTCCAAAAGAATAATCTATTATTATTTTTAAGAAATGATTTGATTATCATTCTAAATAAAACGATCTATTATCATTATATCAGAATGATTTTATTTATCATTTCTTTAGAATGATGTTTAATCATTCTATTGGAACAATTCTTTCTATCGTTTCTTTAGAACAATTCTTTTATTATTCCTTTAGAACGATTCTTTTATCATTCCTTTAGAATGATGTTTTATCATTTTATTATAATGATTTTATTTATCTTTTCTTTAGAATGATATTTTATTGTTCTATCGAAACAATTTTATTTATTATTCCTCTAGAATAATATTTAATTATTCTATTAAAACCATTCTTCTATTATTCCTTTAGAACAATATTTTATTGTTTTATTGGAATGATTCTTTCCATCATTTCTTTAGAATGATATTCTATTGTTCTATTGGAATGATTTTATTTATTATTTCTTTAGAACAATATTTAATTGTTCAATTGAAATGATTCTTCTATCATTCTTTTAGAATGATGTTTTATTATTCTATTAGAATGATTCTTTTTATTGTTCCTTTAAAAATAATGCATTATCGTTCTATCAAAATGATTTTATTTATCATTCCTTTGGAATGATATTTTATCATTCTATCAGAATGATTTTTCTATTATTCCTTTAGAATGATGCATTATTATTTTATTGAAAGTATTTTATTTATCATTCTTTTAGAACAATTCTTTTCATCATTCTATCAGAAATATTCTTTTATTGTTCCTTTGAAACGATGATTTATCTTTCAATTAGAATGAATAACTCGAGTTGAGTTGAGTTATGGTTTAAAAATTTTTTGACTTGACTTGACTCAACTTGATTTTTCAAGTTGAGTTGAGTTTGACAAAAACTCGCTCAACCTAACTCATTCAGAACTCTAGATTTATATTTAAAAGTAAATGCAGAATTATTAACTAATAACATGAAAATAATATATTTGTATAAGTATTACTGTTTGTATAACTTATTATAATGATTATCTAATAATTAGCTGCTAATTATTTTTAGTGAATATTTAGCAGCTTATAAAACCAAATGTAAACATATTATACAAAATGGATTATAATACAAAACATTATGATACTATAACTACACTATCTTATTTTATTGGCTATAGTAAATAGAAATTAAATAAAGATCATTGATTTATTAAAATTAATAATAAAAATGTAAATCTTAGCCTGCTTCATCAACTTTTAGATAGGGTATATGAGGGTAGATATAATTTTTGTGTATTATATTTGCATATTTAACTAAATATTTAATTATTAAATTTCTTTTTTTTTAATTTTTATTATTTATTAGGGAGAATCAGATGAACCTGTAAATAATTGCTTTACAGTATTATATAATAGTACAAAAAAAAATTATCATAAGTTTTAAATATATATATAAAATATATAATTTTTTATAATTTTTATTGTTCAAAGCATAGTGAAGGACATTTTACTTCTAGGTCATTTAAATGCAAGGTCATTCTGTCTGTCCAAATTTGGCAAGTCTGATAATCAATAATATTTTGTTTACATTATTACGTGTTATGTCTTTTGTGTTGCAAAATAATTAATCATGTGAAATATGATAATATAATTTATATACCATATCATGCTTTAGACTTTGAATGGATCCCATTTCCTAGTTTATATAACTATTTATTATTATAATAGCATATCTATACTTTACAGGGAATACTGTTAAACAAGGATCTATAATTCAAAAAACATGTGGGATTAAATATTCTAAAATAGTTCCATTATATATAAAAAATGCTCATATGGGTTAGTTCGTACAAAAATCAGGTTTTGATCATATGATTATATAGTCCCGCAGCATGATTTTCGTACGTACTAACCCATATGTAATTCTCATATCTAGAGGTATTCATTCTCATCCACCTCTTCCACTTAACTGTGTTTCAATTACTGTTCATATTCAGCTAAAAGAGTTAATTCGCTAAGCCAATTATGATACAAAAGATGTTACTCTAACACATATTGTGACAGGTAGTTTAATGTTGTAAATTTTATTTTTATAAGATTTTTAAGTTGAATAATTATTAACTTTTTATTTATTACTTTTTTTTATTATTAGAAAATCTTATTAAAACATTTTTTGAAACTTATTATCTTGCCAATATACATGTTTTTTTAAACAATGCTGATCAACTTTGGTATTATATGAATAAGATTCAAAAAGAGATACCCAACAAGATTAAGGAATCCTTAGAATGATATACAATTATTCACGCAATATTAATAATTTTTGTGAATATGTACAGTGTCTAGATAAGTCATTTTATTAAATATTATTGCATTTTTTTTATTTAAATTAATAATTTGCATTTATTTTATTAGAGTTTTTTGAGAATAATCATGTAATAATTATTTGTACTACTTCTGAATAATTATCTGAATAAACAAAGTGTAAACACTTCTAAATAGATCTTTAATTTAAATGAGTAGCAGGCAAAATAAATGAATTTGAAGTCAATTATTATAATATTCAGCATAACTTAAGTAAGTTCAGTTGATTTGATAAAATTATTGGAGATATATGTAGATATTAATATAAATATTTAATTTAATATTATAGTTCTTACCTTTACTCATATTTTCACAAATTGTGTAACTATTATTGCATATCAAAGAATCTTCATATATTATTTGATCTTGTATTCTAATTAACAGGTTCACTATCTCAATTTGAACACATTTATAATATTGGATGGAATTGTATTATTGCTAATCTAGATTTCGCATAAGCAAAAAGATTAGGGTTAGTATTGAGTGAAATAGATGAAACAAAAGACTGGGAAGAGTATTTAATTTATATTTTTAAGTTATGCCAAGTAATTATAAGAAGTAATAATAGAGTTTAACTTTTTTTTTAGTTATCATTTTAAATATATTTAATAATTAAAGTATTTTAAATGTATTTATTGTATTCAAATAATTTAATATTTATTATGCAGAAAAATTTGAGAAAAGCATTACAATGATAATGTAAAAAATAATATGTATATACTTCTTACAGTTGAATCAGAAAATGCAATTAATGAATTACTTAATAATATTCAGATGAATGAAAAAATGCCACAGGTTAGTAAAAAAAAATATTTTTAATTTCAACATTTACAAAGTTACTTATTTATTTTTTTTATTAGATTGAGTTGCATTTTATCAACAAAAATAGGTATATCAAAAATTAATGATGAAACTTGAATAATATCACTTGATAACACAAATGTAGCAGAAGCTGATCATATCTTAAGTAATCATCGTGAAAAGAATCTTAAATTAATAACTGCAATAATTCAATATGTATATATATCTATAAATATTTAAATGTTAATTTAATTATTTCATTAAAAATTATATTTATTTATTTTAATTTATTAATATATATTACAAGAGGCGTAAGTTAGATAAGGCTATTCAGGTCTACAAAAAATATAATGTGCCTTATCGTAAATATGATAAAGGTACTATTTCTCATAATATTAAATCTAATAAATGCAAAGGTAATACTAATTTCTATTAAACTAATTTAACTTTAAATTTCTAATTAATTTATTTATAATTTATTTTATATTTAGCAAATACACAAGCTAAAAATTCAAATACTACAAAAAAAAATCCCCCAAAACGTGACTGTGTAAGTTTTAGTAAAAAGAAACCAAAAAAACCATTATAATTAATTCTGATTATGATGATGATAATTATGAAAATGATGAAAATGATGATAAAGAAAATATGCTTGTAAAGAAATCATTGGCTTTAAATTTTGATGAACTTGAATATAAAGAAAGAGATTTAGCATTAAAATAACAAGATCTAGTCTTAAAAGAATGAGAATTTGTTTAAGAGAAAGAGAAGCAAAAATATATGTAATAGAGTTAACAAATCTAGTAAAGGAGTATAAACTAAAATTAAATAATTTAGATAATTAGTATATTAGATATATTAAAAGAGCGAATGTATAAAATTTTAATATTTTAATAAAGGCCATTAAATAAAGTTCTTAAATATACAGTTCCCATTAAAATTATATTAGACAATTAATTATATTAACCAATGTAAATAAGTCATAATATTTAAATACATATATAAAAACTTTATTTTAGCAGTTGAGTATAGTAAAGAATCTAATTATACTTAATATCATTTTTAGTATCATACAATACTCATTTGATCAACTATACTTTACTCCTTTTTGTTTTACTTACAATAGGAGGATCCTATATCCCTACTCCTAAAAAAACTTGTAAACACAAAGTACACAATCATTCAGATATTATAGATCTAGAAATAGACAAATTAATAGATAATTATCTCAAAGGTACATTAGAATGTTATTTCACAGATAAGTTAGGTATTACAGATCATTTAGAAAGTCA